CGTCGCCCCCCTCGTGCTTTTGCTCCCCATCCATCTTGGCTCTCCAATCCTAATCTATATCCTTGATATGCAAGTTCTGCCCCCCCCCCCCCCAAATTTTACCATTGCACCTCAAGCCTAACCCGCAGCATCCCTGTTAGCCCACTCCTGAGCCTCTTTGAGAACTACTGGGGTACAGACAAGCAAGAAGAGCAGGGTCCATCCAAGGGCATGGTAGTCACAGAGGCAGAATCAGAAGGGGAAGGCACAGTGGTAAAGGAGCCCAAAAGAAACAGCATGTATTGTGGTAGATTAGTTGCAGAGTGAGTAGAAGGAGGAAGGTTGTAAGGCATGGGACTAATGCTGATAAAACAGAGCCTGCAGGGCAGGAGGGTGGGTAAGTTGGTTGGTAAGAAAGTAGGGTCATCGCCTGATAGGAGATGAAAAGAGGAAGATTTGTGAATAATCAGAAGGAGCTGGAGGACCCAATGTTGGCACAGAGAAGGGAGAGGAAAGGAGTCTCTGACCCAGCAGAGGAAAAGAATGTGGTAAGGACTGAGAAGAAAACGAGGAACTTGGTGTAGACAGGCAAGTGGGGAGCAGGATAGGAGTTGAGCCTGGGGGGTAAAACTCAGGTAGACAGGAAAATGGTATTTGGAAGCATAGCAGTGCAAAGGCAAATGGCAGATCCATTTGAATGGCAAGCCAAGTAAGTGTTACTCAATTAAACAATAGAAATCGGTCATCAATACATAAATAACGGTGAGCAGTTCAGGATCCATCAAGCCACGCGGTCCTATCATCAGGATATTTTCAGATGGAAACCAGCTACTCTTCTCCCTCATCCCACTCCATTCAATACACAAGCCAGCAAAACTAGGGACAGTTTAAAACCACAAGACAGGGACAGCCTTAGATACATCTGCCCCTTTCACCTACTCAAAGTTTATGGAAGTGGGGAAAATAATGGCCATATTTACTCCAAAGCCTCCTGCCAAGTAGCATGTTCCCTCCCTGGATAATGGCTATAAATTGCTTCAGAAGCAGGAACAAAATCATCTGGAAAGAAAGGCCTTTCTATTCTCCCTTGGAAAAACCTAATTTCCTCCTGATGGGAAAAGCCAGGTTTCTGCCACCAGCACATACGATATTAAGTCAGGTAAGGACAAAGTCTCACAGGATATTTGGGGGAGCTAAACCTGGAATCCTGGCTCCACAGCTTAATCATACCGAAAGATGGGGGGGGGGGAGAGAGTGGGGTGTTTGAGCTCTGGGAAAGCCTGTATAACACTTCTCTTCTCCTCCATTAACAAGGCTGGCTATAATCCATTACGCCCCCTGAAGAGAGGAATTAGATCTAGTTCGAGATCATGAGGCGAGGATGGAATTGGAGCAATGCTGTTCTTACCCCAGCTGGAGTATGAGTGCGGGAGCCCTTTGGTGAAGGAAGCTCAGCCGCTTATCTGGGCTTCCCCTCGGCAGCCCGGTATTCTCGGCCCGGGGAAATCGGGGACTGGCACACGGTAAAGGAAAACCGCAGCTGCGGGGGCGCGCCGTAGGAGGGGGATTTCAGCAGGTCCCGGTGACGGGAGGCGATTGCCACAGAGCCGGGGTTTGGGGCAGCCTTACTCATACCCCAGCTATGAGGGCTGGGCACTATTTGCGCCATGTGCGGATACTGGAGCCCGGGGGCGGCCGCAGGAGGTGGGCAGGAGGCAACGTCCGGCCAAGGGCTGTCGCTGTCCACCCCCGGGACGGGGAGGCCTTCTGCCCTACCCACGCACCCCACCAGCAGGGGACGGGAACGGGAAGAGACTCCTAGGAGAGCTGTCCCGCTTGGGGCCGTGGTGCGGCCGCTCCCCAGCCCTTCCCTGGCGCTGGGCCGTGAGGGACCATCTGGGACACAGCGAGTGGCAAGAGGCCGACCCGACCCCGGTAGCCTGCAAAGAGGGAGTCCGGACCCGAGCGCTGCCCCCCTCGCTCGGAGCCCCGCGACACCCCCCGGCGCGGGCGGGCACTCACCGACTCGGCGGAGACGGCGCTGGCGGCTACCAGGAGAAGCAGAGCGGCGCAGAGCGCCCCGGGGTGCCTTGCTGACAGCAGCTGCATGGTGCTCGGGTCCCGCTAGCGGAGCAGGCGGCTGTAGCAACACGATCAAACGGCTTGAACGAACCTCACAGCCACGCATCTTATAGGCGGCCCGGCCCCGCCCCCGGGGGAGGCGGAGCTGCAGGCCCAAATCGGGAGGGGAATGCCCGAAGCTGCTGGGAGTCCGAGACGTGCTACTGCCCTTCTAGTCCCGGAAGGGGCACTCCTGGGCTATGGGTAACCACCCACCCTGCAGTCCCCTCCGCCCCCCCACCATTCCCCTCCCAAGCTCCCCTTCTGCTCCCATACAATTCCCCTCCCCAATCTCCTAGGGCCCAACACCATCCTGCCTTCTCCCACCTAACAGCCCCCTTCCCAACCTCCTGGGGCCCGACACCACCCTGTTCCCTCCCAACAACCCTCTCCCCAAGCTCCTGGGGCCTGACACCACTCTGTCCCCCCCCACCTAACAGCACCCTTCACAAGCTCCTAGGGCCTGACACCACTCTGTTTCCCCCCTTCACCTAACAGTCCCCTCCCCAACCTTCTGGGGCCCAATACCACCCTGTTTCTCCCTCCATCTAACAGCCCCCTTCCCAGCTCCTTCCCTGGTCCTTTGTATTCCACCCCCTCCATTTCACCACCACTTTACAGCCCCTTTCTAAATGCCGCCATGTGAAACTCTAACACTTCACCTTCACCCTTGAAGGCCCTGCCATCCCCTTACACCCTGCTTCCTGAACTCCCCTCACATTCCCACCATCCCCCTTCCGCCTCCAACCTAGCCCTGTACTACCTTCCCATACACCCCCACCCTCTTACACCAATAAGAACTTTATGAATACATAGGAAGAAAGGAAAATGGGAAGTCAGATTTTGGGCCATGCTACCTCGACTGTCTGTCTCAAAAATCAACAAGGAGTCTGGTGGCACCTTAAAGACTAACAGATTTATTTTCTTTAAGGTGCCACCAGACTCCTTGTTGTTTTTGTAGATACAGACTAACACGGCTACCCCCGATACTTGTCTCAAAAATCAACGTATGAGAGAGAAACCAGCATATGAAAATACCATTCTAAATATAATTTTTATATATATTTATAACAATAGGATTTGTTTTTTAAATCCTCCTGTTGTCCTCCCCTCTGTATTTGCCTTTTCTGCCCATCTTCTCTGGGTCTCTCCTGTGGATTCTAAATCCTTCTAGGTAAAGCCTGGTTGTACTTCTGGGTGTTATACAATGCTTATCATACTGTTGGCTGTTAACAAATAATAGATTATTGCAAAAGGGGCCAATGGGAATTAATGTTAACAAGAGTGCACCATGAAATTAACAAAGACTGGTCACTTTAGTTTTCTGGGGGGGGGGAAAAAAAGGAAGAAATTTTAAAATAAAATAAAGGTGGTTGTATTTTAAGGGTACCAAAAATGTTCTGTTGGTCATTCAACTGAAACAAGCAGGGCACATGTTTTATGACAGGAATGAGGCCCTGATCCTGTAATTTGATTAATGCACTCGGACCCCTATGCCTATGAGGAGCCCTGTTGATTTCAATAAGACACCACTCCAACATAAGGGTCTGCCACAAGGATTTAATTACAGGATTCAGGCCAATATCTAAATCCAGAACAACATTTAAAACAACACAAACCATGATGACAATGTTTTCTCCAGCATTTAAGACTAAGCTGTGAAGGCTGGTAATGTTTCCAGGGCAAGTTTTCATCATCAGGCAATCTTTATGCAAAATAACTTCCAGGAAAATCTATTTTGCCCCTGAATACTAACTGCAACTACAACAGACATTTTAACACTGCGCTTAGATACTACGGTGCAGAGGTACAATATCTTTGATAAACATGGAAATAATCTGTTACTCATGTATGATAGCAGCAAACAGATGTTTTAATTTTTTTCCTGGCAGCTTCACAGTAAGGCATTTAAAATCTATATCTGTTTTGATTAATGCAATAGCATTTTAAGGAATATTTCCAGACTTCATGTCAGATATTTAAAAACAACAAAAGTGTTTCAATGTTGTTAATATCTGGGACAGGCAGCAATTTGATCCTGATCCTGCTATGAATCTCATGCAAGTGTAGGGTTCTGCTTGCATGGAGCTCATTGCAGAATTGGGGTTTTAGGTAGCTTTTGTTTTAATATTTAAGCTGCAACAAATATTGCCATAAATAAGTGGAATCCATAAAAGAACATGAGTAAGTAATGTAGGTCCAAAATGTAGGTTTTGTAACTTTTACACAGCCAGACATGAATACAAATGTTCGTTACATTTGATAAAAAAATGAAAATAGTTTTCGGTTTACATTTAAAATTGCCACTGCTGTTTTTGGAAACTGGGATATTACATCACTGTGTTCCTGAATGAGAACCTGAAAGCAAAACTGCTTGGTCTGTTTTCTGTGTCTAATCAGAGGCAAGTGCACAGAGCAAATAGTCATCACAGATGGTAAAAAGAAAGACTTTTAAACATTTCAATTTTAATCAACTCAAGGTATTAGTAACACAAGTAAGGGCATTTGTTTATGCTTTTTAAACTGACAAGGTCCCTTTAAGTAAGAACCTCATCTCTTTGTAACCAAACTGATAAAATCTTTGGCTCAGACTCAGTCAGAAATATAGTGGGAAATGAGAATTGCTTCTAATGTGGTTTCCAACCTTTAGAGTAAATTTGCATAAATCCAGTAATGACAGACTTCCTGAGCACATTTTGTAGATTATCTTTCTTCTTTTCTCTCTACTGTCACAAAAAGAAACTGCATGGTAGGAAATACAACCCTAAAAATCTTAACACTATGCTGTGAATTCATGACACAAAATTGCTTTGTTCATTTTGCCCTTCAAATGTCCCCTTTCAAAATGTTTATATTTTACTCTCACTAGAACAATGCAGGAGAAATCTTATGTACATGACACTCACAGAGAGCGACAGGATAAAATGGGCAGAGAGAATGAATAACTGACATTTTCTCTTCTGAAATCCACTACCATCAAGTGGCATAAAAAGTCACATCTCAATGTTGTGATTTGATCAGACTTGTGAATTATGACATTTTTAGGTATACATCAGCCCTTGTACAATGTAAGATTACAGTTTTCAAAGAAACTGCACAAAAGTCAGCTTGGCTCAGCCTCTGCTGTTCCAGTCCCATTACTTAATAATCATTCACTGTTCATGGAATCTTAAAATCAAACCATAACTGGGTAAAAAACAAAAAATCTTGAAAAGTTAATTCACTTGTAACTGTGAATCTGTGACAAAAACATCCAGGAGGAGGAACTATGATTCCAGATAGATTTTAGTTCTAAAACCACATTTTTCTTTTGTCACATATAAAGCACAGGCTTTGTTATCTTCAGGAGGCCATGCATAAAGCCAACAAAGACTAACTTCTAGTCAAATCCATCATAGTTCCTACTGGACTGGCCAGGGAAAGACAACTTCCAGCCAAGACTTGCTCAGCACAGTTTCTATGGTCAGATTTTAAAAAGAGCATAGGCCTGGATTTTGAAGTAGTCAGAACCCATTACTAAGTATTTTTAAAAACCTCACACCTAACATGCATTCAGCATGCTGAGCTCTTTTGCAAATCTGACCACTTGCTTTGGTGCCTAAATGGGAGCTGAGCTCTTCTTAAAATCTGGCCTCAGTTGTGGATACTGAGCTTTTTGAAAATCTACCCTTTCCTTTTTCCCTGCCAAGATGACCGTAGTGGTCTATTACTAGCTGCTTGTCCAGGGGGTGCTGCTCTTCATGATCCAGGGGTATAACCATAAAACTGGCCGCTGTTTAGGAAAATAAGGGATTTTGATTCAGGAGAAAATAGCTGTTCTATTAAAAGGGTGAAAATAATTGTCTCCCATCAGAAAGTGATAGTGTTTCTATGTGGCCTCATCCCCCAACCCACATTCCCTGAAAGCTGCCTCCTCCTTTAGCTGGGGCTAAGAGAAAGAAAGAGAATTTAAAATGGATTGTTAATTACCCCCCAATTTCTGCTTTTGAGGCTCACATTAGTCCTCTCTGGGCTTGTCCTCCTCATCCTTCCTTAAAATCCTGGGGGCAGATTAGGTGCACATTTTCCCATCTGTTCCCTGACATTTTCTCCAAATATGTGAGGAGGAGAACTCACTGTTACATTCTCTCAACACAGAATGGGAGTGAGCAACTGTCTGGAGTCTGTACTCTTCTGCTTCTGAGGTGACTGCTGCTTGGTTGGCTCCTTCAACCATTGTCCAGTAGCTGTGCAAGTGGAAGTCTTGTGGTTTATCAGGGATTCAAATTCTGTAATTCTCAGAAATGTCAGACAGAATCACATGGTTTCTATGATCACAAGCTGAGTCAGAGAGCTGGTTGCTACGAGTTCTAGCTGGGTTTTCTATAGTGGATTGATGGGAGATTGTTATTATAC